CCACCACTGACTGTTTTCAGACTTTCTGATATGTGCCATTCCCACAGGTGTGAGATGGTATCTCATTGTTGTTCTGACTTGGATTTCTCGAATCATTAATGACAATGAACACTTTTTTCTTATGCCTGTCGACCATCTATATGTCTTCTTGGGGGAAGTGTCTGTTCATTTTCTTGCTCCATTTGTGGATGGGTTCATTGAACTTTTTGTTGTTGAGTTTTGTGAGTGCTTGGTTTATAGATCTTTGATATCAAACCTCCATCTGTTGTACTGTGTGCAAATATTTTCTCGCATATTAAGTATTGTCTCCCATAATAAAAAGTGGAAGTGGAGTGTCTACTTATTAGAGCTTGAGTTTCTTTCACTAGGTGGTAGCTTTTTAATGTGATATAGACCCATGTTTGTTTTTGTTGTTTTTGCCATTGAGGTCATCTCTTTGAAAACTCTTCTGGAGTCAATTTTCTGTAGAGTTTTGCCAATAAAAATGTCTTGGTTAATATATAGGTTTATATGTATTGGTTAATACTTTTTTTAATATGTATTGGTTAATACTCCTATGTATTAGTTAATATTTTGAGTTTGCGTTTGTAAATGGTGCGAGGTATGATTCTAATTTTTTTTAATTTTATACGTGTCCATCCAGTTTTCCCAGCACCATTTGTTGAAGGGATTTTCTTTGCTCCACTCCATACATTTAGCTCCTTTACCAGAGATTAGCTTTCCATAAACCTGGGGACTTAGCTCAGGACTCTTAGATCTATTCTGTTGGCCTACAGATCTGTCTTAATTCTAGTACCATGCAGTTTTGATTATTATACCCTTGCATATATGGGCTGGAGCGATAGTACAGCGGTAGGGCGTTTGCCTTGCATGCAGCCAACATGGCCGACCCGAGTTCGATTCCTCCGCCCCTCTCGGAGAGCCCGGCAAGCTACCAAGAGTATCTCACCCGCATGGCAGAGCCTGGCAAGCTCCCCGTGACGTATTTGATATGCCAAACACAGTAACAACAAAGTCTCCAATGGAGACGTTACTGGGCCCGCTCGAGCAAATCGATGAACAACGGGAGGACAGTGATACCCTTGCAGTACAGTCCAAAGGTGGGAAATGCAATGCCTCCCATATTTATTTTCTTCATATTGATTTTGACTCTTTGGGGAGTTTTATGGCTCCATACAAATTTTAGTAGTGTTTGCCTGTGTCTTTTTTTAAAAAAGTAATTGGGATTTTCATGGGTATTGCATTGAATATGTAGAGTACTTTGGTGGGATGGTCATTTTAACAATGTTGGTCCTTCCATCTCATGAACAGGGAATGTCTTTCCATTTCTTAGTGTCTTCTTTTTCTCTTAGATTTCTCAGCTCCCTTGTTAAGTTGATTCTGGCATGTGCTGTGTGGGGGCACTATTTTGAAGGGGATACCTCTGAAAGTTTTCTTCTAGTTCATTATTTGTATACAGAAATGCAATAGATTTTTTGTGTATTAATTTTGTAACCTGCTACTTGCTGTATTGGTTTATTATTTCTAGGATGTTTTTGGTGGAGTCTTTAGTATTTTCAGTGTATACTATCATGTCATCTGCAGATAGTGATGATTTGATTCCGTCATTTCCAATTTGAATTTCCTTCGGTATCTTTTTCTTGACTGATTGCTGTGGTGAGGCCTTCCAAAACTGTGCTGAATAAGAGCGAGGACAGTAGAAATTTCTGTCTTGTGCCTGATCTCTGGGGAAAGACCCGGTTTTTCTCTGTTGAATATGATGTTAGGTGGGTTTGTTGTACATGGTGTTACTATCTTGAGGTATGTTCCTTCTGTTCCTATTTCTGGAGGTTTCTTTTTAAATCATAAGTGGGTATTGGAGCTTATCAGAAGCCTTCTCTGCATTGCTTTATAAGACTATCACTGTATTGCTGTCATCCTGTTGTTCATCGATTGCCTCGAGGAGGCCCCAGTAACATCTCCTTCGTCCTAGCCCTGAGATTTTCAAAAGTGCCACATTCAAGGGTCTTTCAGGGTGAGGAGAATGAGACCCATCATTGTTACTGGTTTTTGGCATATTGAATACGCCACGGGGAGTTTGCCAGACTCTGCCATGCGGGCAGGATACTTTTGGTAGCCTGCCAGGTTCTCCAGAGTAAGAACTAGATGATAAGATGGTATAAGACTATATAGTTCTTATCTTTATTTTTGTTGATATGTTTTTTCATATTAATTTATTTGCATATGTTGAACCATTCTTTTTTCCCTGGGATGAAACTGATACAAGCATGGTGTGTAATCCTTTTGTTTTCTTACTGGATTAGGTTCGCAGGAATTTTGTTGAGAATCTTTGCACCCATGTTCATCAGACATATTGACCAGAAATTTTCTTTTCTAGTAGTGTCTCTGTTTTAGGCATCAATGTGATATTGGCTTCATGAAAGCTGTTTAGGGCAGACTACTGTTTCCCCAATATTTTGAAAGAACTTGGGTACCAAGATTTATTTTAAGTTCTGGTAGAACTCATTGGTGACTCCATCTGCACTAGGGCTTTTGTTCTTGGGGAGATTTTTCACTCCTGTTTTTAATTTATTTACTCAAGAGTGATCAGTTCAGGTTTTCTGTTTCCTTTTATCTTGGGAGTTGTGTGATTCTAAGATTTTGTCTGTTTCTTTAAAGATCCCCAGCTTGGTAACATAAAGTTGTTCATGGTAACCTCATGATTTTTTTTTTGTATTTTTGAGGTGTCTGTTGTGATTTCTTCCCTGTCATCTAATTCTCTCTCTCTCTCTCTCTCTCTCTCTCTCTCTCTCTCTCTCTCTCTCTCTCTGTTTTCTCCTCCCCCCTTCTTAGTGAAGCTACCTAAGGGTTTCTCAATCTTATTTACTCTTAAAGAACCAACTCCTGGTTTCACTGGTCATTTGTAATTTTTTTTCCATTCTATATCATTGATTTCCACTCTAATTTTTAGTGTCTTCTGCCTTTTATTTGCTTTGGGATTCATTTGTTATTCTTTTTCTAGCTTTATATCCAACATTAGATCATTGATTTGAGCCCTTTCTTCTGGGTGTGTGTTTGGATGGCTATAAATTTCCCCCTTAATACATGTTTTACTGTATCCTGTAGGTTCTGGTTGTTGGTGTCTTCATTCTCATTTGTTTCGAGGACGCGTTTGATTTCTTCTTCAGTCCCATCCATTGTCAGTGGGCAATGTGATATTTCATTTCCAGGCGTTTAGTCTTTTCGCCACTTTCTTTTTATGGTTGATCTCGACATTCGTGGCTTTGTGGTCTGGAAGATACTTGGCACGATTTCTATTTTTGTGATTTTATGAATGTTAGAATTGTTTCCCTCCTCCCCCTCCCCGCCCTCACCCCAGCATGTAAACCCCATGCTTCCTTATATCTATAACTGGGGGAAGATCTTCCATGCTGAGGGATTCAGTGTCCCCTTGGCAACACCTGCAGCACCTCGGTACCAGCCACCTTGTCCCCCAGGCCCTCCCTTCCAAGTCCTTCTTGCCCGGAGGACTCTGTAGAGAGGTGTTCTCCCCCCCCCCCCCCAAATACCCACTGGGCAGCTGAAACTCTTCTCTAGTTTGACTTTCTGGTTACTGTTGAGTAAAACCGGTGACAGTGGACATCCTCCCTGCCTGTCTCCTCTCAGACCAGGAGACCCACAAAGAGCAATCCAAAAAGGAGATGACCATTCAGGGACTCTCCAATGGCAGGGGTGCCAGCCGGGGGACAGAGATATGCACCCTGCGACCCCCCCCCCACTCCCCTCAGCTGCGGACCAGCCTCGGTGGCCAGCCAGACCCTGAGATTACCCCTACCTCCCTGCAGTACCTCTCTGAGGGAGCAGGCATCTGGGCAACATGGCTGTTAAGTGACTCTTGCTCCCGTGCCTCGCAGGCTGGACAACAGCTCCCGTTTAGCCCTGGCTTTCCTGCTGCTCTCCCATGCTGGACACTTGTCACCTCTGGACACTTGTCACCCGTGCCCCAGCTGTGAGACGCAGCCTTTTTTCCTTGGCACTCACTTCCGCTCCCGGGCACAGAGAGCGAAAGCTTCTTCCCCACCCGCCAGGGAAACTCTCTCCGCAGCCCGGCCTCTTCTTTCCGCCGATTTCTCTGACACTGGAGGGCAGATGGGGCACCCCAGGGGCCAAGCGAAAGGAGAGGGCAACCAAAACGTCGCCTCCTGCCCGCAGACGCCGGTGCTGTTTCCTTGGGAGGTGGGACTGAGTTGGCCTCCATCGGCGTTTAAAGGGAGGACACGGGTCTCTCCAGATCCGTGTGGAACCCTGTTACTGTTACCCGCCCCGAACGGACTCCCCCCTGAGTGCAGGTGTGCGCTCACAGGTGGGCTGGAGGCAAGAGAAAGTGACTGCACAGCGCTGAGCGGCTCAGAAGGATAAAGGCTCCTGGGTCCAGCATCCGACGGGACTCGCGACTCACTGCCCATCACCGGCTGGTGTCCAGACTGAGCAGTTTGCAGCTTCCGTTTCCCAGGCCAGGGTCGGTCAACCCGGCATGGATGAGCTCTGGGAGGTCCCCAGGTCATGGCAGGGGAACTTGCCTCAGCCCTCGCGGGGAGCCTCCCATGCCTGCAGGACCCTGGGGCGCTGCTGTGCGCAGAGGGGCCGTGGGAGAGGGTGGGATCTCACCCTCCACCTCCCACCCCTGCAGTTCAATGGCAGCTGTGATCTGGGGCACCGTGAACAAGGGTTGGAAGTGAGCAGCACCCCCTGACTTGGCCTTTGGTGGGGGCTGAAGGGGTGGGGGGGGCAAACCAGGGTTTGGAAATCATGAGAATCTTAAAGCTTTTTTGAGAAACTTCAGGCCAATTTTTCTTTTCATCTTCTGTTGAGTAAAGTAGAGAAATTTCACTTCTCCTCCTTTCTTTTTTCTCTCTCTCTGTCTCTCTGTCTCTGTCTCTCTGTCTCTGTCTCTGTCTCTCTCTCTCTCTCTCTCTCTCTGTCTCTCTCTCTCTCTCTCTCTCTCTCTTTTCTCCCCACAGGACAAGGCATTTCAAAGAGAGTATCAAGTTCATTCACGAGTGCCGGCTTCGGGGTGAAGGCTGTCTCGTCCACTGGTACGTAAGCTCCCCAGCCTCAGAATAACCGAGAATGTTCTCCTGAGCTCGGATCCTCATTTCCACGATAGGATTTATGGGGGGGGGGAACACAGGAGGGAAGTAGGCCATCGACATCCCTGATCTAGAACTCTCCTCTCCTCTCCTCACCCCGCCCCACGTAGCCCCTGCGTGTCTGAAGGCACATCCCCGAAATGTGTTTTTTTGTCTGCTGTGTTGGGATGGCCCCTGTGGATGTGTCGCACTGAATTACTGTTAGACCCAGCTCGTCATTCCGACCCCATCAGCCGCTGGGAACGTTTCCGCTGCCTACTGGCTCTGCTCTAGAGAAGAAGGGAGGAGATGGCTGGAGAGAGAGCACCGGGGTACCCAGGGGCCCCGATTCAGTCCCCTGAGCACCTCCAGGAGTGATCCCCGAGCACAGAGCCCAGGGTGAGCCCTGAGCAGCACCCAATGGGGCCCAAAGGCGCCTCTCCTGCCCAGCTCCAAAACAAAAACAGCAATGAAAACAGAGTCGATTCTTAGTTTTCAACAAGTTCGAGTTCCTTGCATGCGGCTACGCTGAGAAGCCACCATCCCCCCCCGCCCCCCCCCCCCCCCAGCGAGCGTGCTCTGCTCCGGAAGCCTGTCAGGCCCGTGGGACCCCACGCAGCACCCAGGCGGCTCTTACCCCCAGATGCAGGGGGCTTGCAGCCCACATTCCGGAGTCAGAGCGCTGCCGTGTGCTCGCTGCAGGCTAGACTCGGGCCCTGGCCTCTGTGCCGGACTCCGTGTGCACTCAGAGTTGCACCTCTGAGTTAGAGATCTTTTGGGGAACCCCCAAGAGAAGTTGCAGTGGCAGGGAAAGTCCTCAGAGAAGGCAGCATCTCTCCCAGGGGTCCTTTCTGGCTCCTCAGACTGCTGGAAGCCCTGGGGCTGCAGGGACCCCGGGCATGAGATAGAAAAGGCCCTCAGGAGAGCTGGTGATCGCTTCTGGGGTAAGTAGCCCAGAATCCAGGGTCAGGGGAGAGTGAAAACTTTGCTTTGCAGATGCACTTCTGCAGGCATGTCCGGCTCTCTTGGAAGAGTGTAATGCTTCCTTTCGCTTTTTAAAAAGAGTAGCGCCGAGACTCCCTCTGGGATAATGCTTCGGTGAGGTTAAGTTGCGTTGAACTTGAAGTGCTTATTGGGTGGTACAGCCATAGCCATTTCAAGGGGTCTTCTGGGGGGCTGGAGAGAGAACACAGCGGGTAAGGCACTTGCCTTGCATGCAGCCAGCCCAGGGTTGATCCCCGGAACCTATAGGATTCCCCCACACTCCTCCAGGCGTGATCCCTGAGCACAGAGCCAGGAGTAAGCCCCGAGCCCAAGACCAAAAATAAAGGGATCTTCTGAAACCCTGCCTCCGATCTCTGGAGATCGTGGAGAATTAGAATCTTGTGAGTGGCAACCCAGAGAATGTATTCTTTTTTTTTTTTTAATAAATTCTATCACTGTTTCTGATAGCTCCGGGGGAGGCCCGGCGTGGAGGCGCTTGGTCTTCATCGTGACTGTTATTATTATTACTGTATTTGAATGTGCGTAGCCCGATACTCTAGGAATTCGTATTTGAGACAGTTGTGCAAATGTGAAGGCATGCTCTTGTAAAAACGAGAAAGGTGCTGAACTTCCCCGTCCTGGACCGTTGCTCAAACACTCCACGTCTGACGCGGCACAGCCTCTGTGACCGCGGTCGTTTGCATGAGCGTTTAAAATTGGTCCCATTACTCAGCCCGCTGCCGCAGAGATAACGACTGTACGCGGGCCTCACACCTGAGGCACACGGCGGGCACAGGCCGGCGGCCCCGCGGGGTGACGTCGCAGACACCCCAGGGTGGCTCAGGGCGTATAGGCGATAAATCAGAGGTGCCCCCTCTCATCCAGCCAGTAAGAACACGGGGCTTGGCGGCAAACACATCTCACCAATCAGGGCACGTCATAAATGGGTTCACCGCATAGATCCCCAGGCCCCTTGTCCCGTCGTGATCTTGCTTTCTTCCATTTGTCACAGGTAATAGGGGGATGGTCTATAGAGGGGCTCAGGGGGCTGGAGCAATAGCTCAGCGGGTAGGGCGTTTGCCTTGCATGTGGCCAATACCCCCGTTTGATTCCCAGCATCCCATAGGGTCCCCCGAGTACCACCAGGAGTAATTCCTGAGTGCATGAGCCAGGAGTGACCTCTGCGCATCACCTGGTGTGGCCCAAAAGGCGAAGGGAAAAAAAAATAATAAGATAAAATAAAAAGTAAAGAGGGGTTCAGGAGGGGAAGGAAGGAAATCATTCCAGTGGTGTGTCCCTGAAAACTCAGATGAGCCTCTGAGTCAGTAGTAAATTTTGCACCCTTGGCCGCAGAACATCAGAAGTGGAGACTAGACCAGAGACCTAGGGCTTCCGGATACCCGAGTACGCCGGACCGTGCCTCTGTTTCCAAGGACTCTTCTGGACCTGCCCTAGCCTGCTGTCCCCATCTCCCCCCCCCCCAACCACAACAGGATGACCTGCTGGGACGGGCGTTACCAGTGGCCACGTGCGTCCCTGGTCCATCTCACCCCGTTTTCTCTCTCGGCCCGCAGCCTGGCCGGCGTCTCCAGGAGCGTGACGCTGGTCATCGCCTACATCATGACAGTCACCGACTTCGGCTGGGAGGATGCCCTGCACACCGTGCGGGCCGGCCGCTCCTGCGCCAACCCCAACCTGGGCTTCCAGAAGCAGCTTCAGGAGTTCGAGAAACACGAGGTCCACCAGGTACGTCTGCGGGGGCACCGTGGGCGGGTGGGCAGCCCCTGGGAGATGCCCCTGACCTGTGCCTGCCTCAAAAGACAGCAGTGGGAGCTGAGGCCGGCGCCTGGGGCCCATCAGGTTAGGGGACCCCCGCTCGTATGCTACCCTTCGACTTGGCATCGGCGGCATCCAGGAGGGTTGGACCCAGCTCAGCTGCTGCTTCACACACACACACACACACACACACACACACACACACACCCTCCACCTTGCGGCCAAGTGCCACTTGCTGGGCGTTTCCGTTGGCTTGGACCCACCCCTGGAAGAAGCCCTTGGTGCTGGAGCGATAGCACAGCGGTAGGGCGTTTGCCTTGCACGCAGCCAACATGGCCCACCCGAGTTCGATTCCTCCGCCCCTCTCAGAGAGCCCGGCAAGCTACCCGTGACGTATTCAAAATGCCAAACACAGTAACAACAAAGTCTCCAATGGAGACGTTACTGGGCCCGCTCGAGCAAATCGATGAACAACAGGAGGACCGTGACCGTGACAGTGCTTTTTGGGGTCACACCCGGCGATGCTCAGAGGTTCCTCCTGGCTCTGCACTCAGGAATGACTCCTGGCGGTGCTCGCTCGAGGGGAGGACCGTATGGGATGCTGGGAACCGAACCCGGGTGGGCCACATGCAAGGCAAACACCCTCCCCGCTGTGCTATCCCTCCCGCCACCCCAGGTGGCATCTCTGGCCCAGCCCCAGCCCCAAATTGCCCAGTGCTCGGTTCTCTTCCTCCCCCCCCCCACTTGTTGCTCTGTGCTCCCTGAAGTTGTCAGGGAGGGCGGGAGGGGGGTTGCAGGCATGTGCACAAGCCAGTGACGGTCTATCCCTGCCTCCCCCCCTCCCACCTTCTCGCCCCCCAGTACCGGCAGTGGCTGAAGGAGGAGTTTGGCGAGAGCCCCCTGCGGGATGCCGAAGAAGCCCAAAGCATCCTCGGTAAATATAAAGAGCAGGTCCGCGTGGAGCCGCAGCCCGGCGCCAGGCGGTGGAGCAGCTTCCAGGCCCTGCCGCTGGCCTATGGCAACTACAGCAGCGAGACCTAACGCCCACCCCTGGGTGCCGCCGCCAACGCCGCCGCCCTCCCGCCCGCTTGTCTGCGCGCCGCCTTCCCGCTGGCTGCCGGGTGCCCTGGAGGACAGCACGGCCGGGGGTGCCCAGGTGGACTCTCGCCCCTTCCCTGCTGGGCTTGCCGCCCCCCCCACCACACCCGCAGCCCTGGGCCCTCCCCTCGGTGCCCCCCGCCCCGCCTGGGCTTGCTGCTGTGTGTGGGCGTGCGGGCGACTGAGCATGCGCGGTGAGCTCTGGGCGCGGGCCCTGGTGGACCGGCAACGCCTGCATCAGCACCAGCATCAGCATCTCCATCCTTGCCCGCGGGAGCCGCCGCAAGGGAAGGCTGAAGGCGACAGCTGCCCCCCAACAAGGCGGTGGGGGGAATCCAAGGACCAGGCTCCCTCTCCAGGGGTTCTGGAAAGGGCGGGGAGAGGGGGGTTGTTAAGGACAGTGCCCCTGCCTGAGGCTTCTCAAGGCCTGGGGTCAGGGCCCCTCGCCCCGTGTTGGATCTCGGCCACGCTGGACGCCACCCCGGGTGCCTGGCCCTGTCCCCTGAGCCTCACGTCCACAGCCTTCCCAGCTGCAGCCTGGCTGCTCTCCCTATGGCGGAGTCCCTAGCCGCCACCACCGGGGCCGGGAAGGACAGGCAGGGGGCAGGGAGGGCTGGTGGCGGTCTGTCTGCACAAGCTGGAGACACACGAACACCGGGACTTTGCGCATCTGTGGCGGGCTTGATCTCTGCTCTCAGCTACCTCACTCAGGGGCTCTCGTCCTTCCTGTCCTCTGCCCCCAAGAGGAGGCCAGTCACAAAGGCTCCGGAAGCCCAGGGCGACACATCTGTGGCTTTGAGATCTTTAAAGTCTTCCACTTGGGGGTGGAGGGGGAGACCTCCATCCATCCCTAGCCCAGACGAGCCCGGCCAGGGGGATGTGGGTGCAGGGAACTACATGAATGACAATGTGGTGAGTCTCCCCCACTGGAGAGAAGCCGCCGGCCTGGGATGTAGCTTGGGCGGCACAGACAGACGGGCTTAGCCTGCGGGAGGCCCCGGGTGCCATTCCCCGGTCCCCTCCGAGCACTGCTGGGTGTGGCCCCTGTAAGAAATTGAACCAAGCTACAGGCCACGTGTTGTCCCACAGTGGACGCACCCCAAACAGTGAGAGCGGAAACGGACCCTCGAGTCGCCCACCCACGGCCCCGGCAGCACTGCCCGGAAGTCCATTTTCTTGCAACCAAAAAAGAAACGTAATCAGGCGAACAGGCAAGAGTGCCGAGGACCTCGGCCCGGCGCTGCGGCCGCCAGTGTTGACCGTGCTCCTGGGGGTGTTCTGGAGATGTCGCTTGGGCGTTGCTTGCCAGACCTGTCCTTTCTCCACAGCCGCTCCGGGCCTTCTGAAGTACTGGGCCTTTCTCAGAAGACTGTCACGGGCCTGAAGTGTCTGAAACGTGGCAGCGCCCCCAGAGCTTAGGCCGGTGGCTGCCAAAATTAAAAAATAAATAAATAAGTGATGATGATGATGATCGTAGCCGGGAAAGCGACCTCGAGGGTCGTTTTCTTCTTCTGCCCCTGTTGCAGACAGAATCCCGACACGCGTCTTGCATCTTATACCGTCCCCCGTGGTGGCGGCCGTGTGTGTGTGTGTGTGTGTGTGTGTGTGTGTGTGTGTGTGTGTGTAGGGGGGGGGGGGGAACACAGGCCGCGCGTGAGCCAGGGAGGGGGCCGTCGGGGAGGCGCCAGGCCTTGTGTGGCAATCCCTGTGGCCTCTCCGGAGGATTGAGCTGCTGCGTAAGCAGCTCCCGTGATCCTGCATTGCCCGGCCCGGGGAAGGAGCTCTCGGCACATTCCCTCGGGGCTGTGCTCTCCAGGGCGGAATTCACCACGAAACTCCCCATGTATGTCAATAAAGGGCAACTCGACCAAACGCTGCCTCCCCGCGTCCGTGTTCTTGCCCTAGGAGAAGCGCGAATGTCCCGGGCGTCGGTCCCCGCGGGCAGTGCCACCTGGCGTCTGGGCTGACGTGACCCGGGTGTCCCGATTTCCTCTGGCAGCTACAAACATAAGTGAATTCGTTTCCCGAGAGAGACACATCCCCGCTGTGAACAGACGGGAATATGGGTGCTGAGTTCTGGTTGCTTCGGGATGATTTGGGGCAGGGGGAGGGGGTGAAGGGTCACACCCAGCCTTGAAGTGCTTGGGGGACCTTGCAGCGACAGGGGACCTTGCCTTGCCGTGCAAAGCCTACACAGCCCTGGCCCTGGGGGTGCTGACCCTGCACCTGCGGAAGGGCCCTTTGTTGGTTTTTTGTTGTTGTTTTGATGGGTTTTTTTTGTTTTTTTTTCTTTTTGGGTCACACCCAGCGATGCTCAGGGGTTCCTCCTGGCTCTGCACTCAGGAATTCCTCCTGGCGGTGTTCGGGAGATCTTATGGGATGCTGGGAGTCGAACCCTGGTCAGCGTCAGCTGCATGCAAGGCAAACACCCTACCCATTGTGCTATTGCTCCAGCCCCATGGAAGGGCCCCTTGCACCCAGTGCTGTGCACAGGCCGCAGGCCCTGAGAAGGAAGTTGGACTCAGCCCACGGGCGGGTGTGGTGTGTGAACGGGTCTGGAAGGTGATGCAGAAACTGACCGTGGCCTGTGACCGCGGGTGGCAGGCCAGATGGAGGCAGTGCCTGCAGCCTCATAGCAGGGGGTCTCAGGGTGGGGAGTGGGGTGGGGGGTGACGAGAAGGACACCTTCTGTTAGTGCCCCCCACAGCCTGTGAGCCCTTACTTGCCCTCTGGGGCACTGACCTGCCTGTGATACAGGCTTAGAGGACTCCGAGCCGGAGCATCCCAGATTCCCCACCGTGAGCAGGTCCCTGCAAGAGGATGAAGAGGGAGGGAACAGGTTTTCCAGGGACAGTCCTGATCCAGGCCAAAGGCTGACAGCCTGGGGCTGGAACAGTAGCACAGCGGGTAGGGTGTCTGCCTTGCATGTGGCGACCTGGGTTCTGGGCTCGATTCCCAGCATCCCATCTGGTCCCCCCAGTACCACCAGAAGTAATTCCGGAGTGCAGAGCCAGGAGGAACATCGCCGGGTGTGACCCCAGCACGAGTTGCCAGTCGCGAACCATCACCTCATTCTGTGGGTCACCCCACAGCTTTAGACACCCACAGAGGTGGCCAAGAAACAGCCCCTGCAAAGTTGGAGCGGCTTTGTGCCAACCCGGATATTTAGATCAGAGGCGGAGGGCTAAGCTGCCCCTGGCTCTCAACTGCCATCAGGAACCTCCCGGTAGCTGTGCCCCCGCCCCCCGCCCCATTTGGGGAGAAGGTTGGTTGGCAAAGAGGGGTGGGCAATCAGAATTTTGTTTGGGGGCCATCTCCAGCTGTATACTGAGGCCTTACTCCCGTTTCTGTGCTCGGGAGAGTGTATGAAGTGCAGGGGATGGAACCCCGGGCCAGCTGCACGCAAGGCAAGCTAGACTGTCACTCCAGCCTTGGCAATCCATTGCCGACCTCTACACAAGTGTCCGCAAAGATGCCGCTGACCATGCATACAACCCCTCCTTGCCCAGGGTCAGACGGCGGGTCCCGTGGAGGAGCGGGTGCTGTGAACTCAGGCCACTGAGGGAGGAGGTCCGTGTCCACTTTCTCGTGCACTGTCTCAGGGGTCCCCTCTCGCACCCCTCATCCAAACTAGCCTGGAATTTGGAGTCCTGAGCTTCCCCAGGGGGAGATCTACCTCGGGACCACCTGCACACCTTCCAGTGGGCTCACATCCGCCCGGCAGGTGTATGTCATCACGGACGGCCCAGGGCTACCTCATTGGGTCCCACTTCGCTCAGATCATTCCTTTGCTGGTTTCCCTAGGGCCAGCCCCACCCATTGCTCTTCTGATGCTCTGTGGGACCCCGAGGGAGAAACAGTTCCGCTGGGGAGTCCGTGTTCACAAGAGGCATCTGGGCACGGGGTTACCTGGGAGGACAGGGGGTCCAGGCAGAGCCCAGCATGGAGGAGGCATGGGGAAGGACAGCTCGTGTGTGAGGGGACCCCGAGTCACTAGGACTTTAGAGCAAGTGGCAGCTGGGTGGAAAGGAGTGACACTGCAGACCCACTGGGTACAAGGCAGTGACCATGGAGATGAAGCTGCAGACCCACTGGGTGCAAGGCAATGACTGTGGACATGAAACTGCAAACCCACTGGGTGGAAGGCAGTGATGGTGACGACGAAGCTACAGACCCACCAGGTGCAAGGCAGTGACGGTGAAAACGAAGTTGCAGACCCACTGGGTGCAAGGCAATGACAGTGGAGACAAAGCTGCAGAGTGGGTGGAAGGGAGTGACGGTGGAGACGAAGCTGCAGACCCACTGGGTGCAAGGCAATGGCAGCGATATGAAGCTGCAAGCCCACTGGGTGCAAGGCAGTGATGGTGCAGACAAAACTTCAGACCCACTGGGTGCAAGGCAGTGATGGTGTAGACAAAGCTTCAGACCCACTGGGTGCAAGGTAGTGATGGTGCAGACGAACCTGCAGACTTCCAAAGGCCCCTGAGCCGGACATCAGGGAGACGCCAACCTCAGAGGGTGTGAGGCCCTGCTGTGCCTCCAGGGGCCCAGCTCTCAGGTGTGAAGCGAACCGAGTTCCTCTGGGCTCCGGTTCTCCTGGGTCAGAACCTGAGCAGAGCGGCAGCCCCCGCCCCTCTGGGTGTGCGGGCTCCTCGAAGGGGTGCTGGTGGAGAACGGGGGTCCCTGCTGGGCTCCCGTGGCTAACCAATCGTGTGAGGCAGGCTGGAGTGCTGAGAAGGGGGTCGTGATGGAGATGGCGGGCCCAGTGGCCTGCGGGGACCTGCCTCCCACCCATCCGTCCCCAGACTCAGCCTCTTCCTGCCCACGGCAGAGAGTGGGCCCAACGGCATCCAGGGGAAGCTTTAGGGGGCTGCTAGGCCTGGGGTCTGCAAGAGTCTGGTCCCTGGGTGCGATCCCCGTCTTGCAGAGCTAGTGCTCAAGTTCATCCATCATCCTAGCTAGACCCACTCCTCGGGCACCCCGGCTCACGAAAGGTCCCAATTCTTGGTCGTTTCCTGGAAGAGAGAACATCGGCTTCCTGCAGGCGGGTCTTGGCGGCTGGTCTAGCCTTTCGCTCAC